GGGGGGTCAGGGGTCCTCGATTGCACTCAGCCTCCAGCATGAAACCGGGGAAACGTCACGGGCGGGTAGAGCGGCCGGGCTGCTCCAGATTAATTAGATACGGCCATGCTTATTACTCCTTTCTTATGATTGGACTTCTGTGTAAACATTAGGACAAATTACGCCTCCAGGGTGGTTTTTAACGTAAGTGTTGCTGTTGCGCGAGAAAAAATAAACCTGTAGGTTTCACGTAATTGTAAGATAGGGTTCCTGTACATCAATGAACGCAGGAAAATGAGTAGAATCCGGATATTAAAAGGTCGACAACAGACCGCAGAAATTTTACCCCTTAATTGCCCAAAAACGGAAAAAATTCCAAAAATTTGCCCGATCTTCTTTCTAAATTTTCATTTAATTCTCAAGATACTGATTTTAGCGAGAAATGGGACTAACTTCCGAATGCTAGGAAAAATGACCATTAAAAAACCTATTACGAGTGGAATGGAATAGTGAACTAATGGGAAAAAATGATGATTGAACACAAATAATTACACTCACGGAAGATGGTTTTTGGGATGTGAAGTCTGGGAGAAATAAGGTCAGGCCCGGGCCAAATTGCAAGACTAGTTTCCTATACTCCGATAAAAGCAGAAAAATGAGTAGAGTCCGATTATCAAAAGGTCCTTGAAAAGTCGCGAAAAGCCTCAAAATCGCCGCTTTTCAATCGGCGTCTTGCGGTCCATACGAGGTTCTGTTATCCATTGCATTTTCCACGATCTGAATTCCCGAAATATTGTGCCCCTTGCAATAACTGTGTGTGAAATTTCACCATACATCATTTAGATGCAATATGCAGGATTACAGACCGCGAGGATTGGAGCTTCATGAGGTTCAATTTTAGGATCCGTACACATACTGGTCAGGAATAAAATCTTATTACCACCTGAAAAATCGCCCCGAAATTCCGCCGATTAAACCTAGGACACCCTGTATACTGCCGTGCCAAGGAAAAACGCCATATGAACCTTCAGGCGTTGCCAAATTTCCTTTGATGAAACACTGATTTCCTGGTGAACTTATGAATACATTCCTTCCAATTTTTTAGATAATTTTGTTCGCGATTTCACTTTTAGTTCCTGAAAATTTCGAGGAAAAATATTCATAACTTTTCTCAAAAATATACATTTTATCCAAGAAAATCCGGCAACTCTCGAATGTTCGCACGACGTTCTTCCTTAGCACATCAGTATGGGTAAATCTATCGTACTATGCAAAAACGCCGTAAATCCATCAAGATTTTCCCTCCTTTTTGAGAACTTAACACTTTGTAAAATAAAAACTGTTTTACCCATGCAACTCAAATTTTCAGGTTAAGTTCTTGATAGTATTTGCGAAAGAACTCTGTGAAACATTGTCCCAAGGTACACGCGTGTTTCTGCTATGATACATTGTTTCCAAAAAATGTAAAATGGCTTTTGTGGCGTTTTTGCGTTACACGGCAGAAATGCTTCCTAGAAAGATGCTCCGTCGGCGATGACGCGGAATTTTCGTGTGGAAAATCGGCAACCGCCGGAGCGGTCCTAATGAGCCTTTT